AGGGCATGGGGAAGGCTTCCAGTGAATGAGAGGATTTTAGTTGGGATTTAAAGGAAGTCAGGGAAGTGAGTACAGGTGAAGCTGAGGAGGGAGAGTGCTCCAGCATAGGGACTAGGCAGAGAAAATGCCGGCTCACCAAGACAGCAGCAGCACTAATAGGAGCAAGGGCAGTGGGAGGATGAGTCCTTACTACTACTAAGACGTGATGGTGGTGGTGGTGGTAGAGAGTGGACAAAGGAAGGAGGGAAAGTGGGCCCAGAAGAGAAAGCTGGGAGACATCCAAGTGAGGGGGTAGGTCATGACTAGGGCCCAGCAAAATAGAATGAGAGAAGTAATCTCACCATGTTAGGAAAAGTAGGGGCAAGCAGTGAAAGGGAAACAGGGCAAAGATTCCCTAACAGCGGGAGAAAGTCAACAGTAACAAAAATAGAGCACTGGCCTAGAGTCAGAAAGACCTTGGACACTTACCAGCTATGTGATTTTTGGTAAGTTACTTGACTTCTGTTTGCCATAATCTGCTGGAGAAGGAAATGGACAGTATGGTCCATGGGGTCACAAAAATTCAGACATCTTTAGCAGCAACAGGTATCTAACTTAATCTTTTTTTGGGGGGGGCAATCGGGGTTATGTGACTTGCCCAGGGTCACACAGCTAGTAAGTATCGAGTGTCTGAAGTCACATTTGAACTCAGGTCCTCCTGCTTCCAAGGCTGGAGCTTTATCCATTGCACCATTAGGAGGATGAGTTACAGGGGGAAGAAAGGAGGAATTGATGCAAGAGCAGGTGGAGAAAGAAGAGAAAAGAGAAGACTTTCTGGCCATCAACTTGAGCCGGCTTCATCATTGAACACCCTGAGACTGAGAGATAGAGAAGGGAACTTACTCCTTGAAAGAAAAAAAGACTTTATTTTCCTCAATAGAACTTGGGGCTGGAGGCCAGAGTCAGCCAACTGGGATTCTGGCGTGTCATGCTCTCAGAATGTTTTTGACTGTCGGTTGTACACTAGAAGTAGAGAGACGGGAAAGGAAAACAAACCAAAGATAAACTCACCGCTGGGGGGTGGGAGAGATGAGAAGAGGGGAGGGGCGACATTTTATCCTGAGGGAGCTAGGACCGGTCGGGCTTTGGTCAATGCTGGAGCTCGCTAACTAGCCTTCGGGTACCAAGCTGCTGAGACACTGAAGAGAGGCTTAGCTTTTCCCAGTGTTAGAATATTTCAGCTGCCAACCACAAACTCCATCCTGCAAACCCAGGAGGCTGCAGAAGTTTACTCTATCAAATTTGGCAATTCCCAGGCAGAAGAGATTCCTGGGTCCCCGGGGCCCAGAGACAAAAACAACCTCCAGACCCAGAGAGCCTCATTCTATAAAACGTTTTACACCCAAAGTCGCCCTGCTCACTGAAATCATGGGATATCCTGCTTAAAATGGTCCCCAGAAATCACCAAGTTCACTCTCTTTACTTTTTGGATGAAAAAACATAAACCTCGTGTGGTGAGCTGGTTTCTGAACACTCCGCAGCTTGTCCTTACCAGTTCATCAGTTCGTTCTTTCGCTCGCTGGTTCAGTCCGTCAGTCGGGCAAGCAGGCACCAAGAGCAGCGGTAACAGAGGCGCCCACAGTGCCTCAGAACTGACTCAGCGAGGGTAGAGAAATTCAAGAAGTTTAGGAGCCATAACCACAGGTGGGAGAGGGGGTTTTCCAGGTTACTTTCCTTCCTTGTCTGTTCTGCCTACTTTTCCTAAGAATCTGGATTCTGAAGGCGGCATTGCCTGAATCCCAAGCGAGAGCCTGGAATTTGTCCCCGATTAGGGTGAGTGGTAGGATGGGGGATGGGCAGGTCAAGAAGCAAGCTGTGGCGGCCTGCTCTACTAGCGAGAATCGGAGATGTTTCTGGGAAAAGAAACCGAAAGCTGAGCTGGGTCCTTTAAACGTGAGCCAGAAAGCCAAGCTCCAGTCCCTGCGTGTCTTCGGTTCTCGACTACATCCTCTGACCCCCACTGCCCTCCCTCTCACGGATTTTAAACTTCAACAGCCACTGGGCAAATCAGGCTCTGAGCTCAGAGGATCGCAGCGAGGGCGGGGGCGCTCCTTTCTGAAACGGGGGTGAGGTGGGGTAGGGGCGGAAAGGGCTGCCTGGTGTGGTCTCCAAGCTCCTGGTCCGAGAGCAGAGCTGTGGCCTCAAGGAGCCAGGCTGGGAAGCTGGACGATGCGACAGAGTGAGCGCGCTGGGCACTTCCTGGGAGCCAGGAGAGGTGCACAGCAGCAGAAAGAGCGATGGAGGAAGAGGTTCAGAAGTGGGGTCTGGATTGGCCTGAGAGCCTGGAGGCGGCAAGAAAAGCCATTCCTCCTAGCGCCCACCCCACTGAACTCAGAATGGGGGGAAAGAAAGATGAGTGTGGGGAGAGCGGGTCCCGACTGGACAGTAGTTTTTACGGGAAGAGGCTCCCAAGCCATTTCACTTTTGCTGTACTTGGAAATGTTGGGACCGCTGGGAGAGGAGGTCGGGGTAAGAGTGAAGGGGAACTACACCTGGTCAGAAATCCTGCTTGGACAAGGGGACCTGGGTCTGCAGGAATTGTGTCCTAAGTAAGGTAGATTCTATAATGCAGTGGGGGGAGAGAATCTGTCTGAGAATCATCAATCATCTCACTGACTGCTTCCCAAGACTCTTGTGAGGGGACAGACAGCTCTGGGGGCAAATGGGGCTGTGAGATGTAGCCCTTGGATTAAGAGCCTGGGGAAGATGAGCCAGAAGAAGCAGAGTGGCTGCCAGCAGTCTGCAGTTACTGCCACCATCCAAGGGCTGGGGGAGGAGCAGCTTACCAAGAACCCAAAAGATGAGGTTCCTCCTAAAGCACAGGAGGTCTCATCATGGTCAGTGTAACCCAGTAGAGCCCCACTCTATGGAAAGCCTGGGCGGTGACAAAAGTAATCGAGTAAGTACAGCCTGGGCCCTGCCCCCAGGAGCTTCCCATCTTGTTAGAGTCAACCACTCTAACATACAAGCACAGAAGTGTCCACAAAGTGCTGTTTGAGACCTGTGGATGGAATAATTACTTCCAAATGAGGTGCTATGGCAAGCCATCTTGGAAGATGTGACATTTATTGAGTGAGGTCTAAAAGGATGAAGAAGATTTTTACTGATTTAGTGATGGAAGGGCATTGTGGGCATAGGGAATGATATGGACAAAGGTACAGAGGTAGGAAAGTACAGCATATGGACTCATGGGATGGAGATTGTTTTTTTTTTCCATGGGAGTGGGAAATATTCCTCATTTACTAACAGTTTAGATGGAGGGAACCTATGCAGACTTGAAGACTTGTCTAAAGGGGAAATAATGCACTTTCCTGCCCATAGGGGCAATTCTTTTCTTCAGTGAAAAGGATCTCTGCCCCTTGCCCTCATTTAGCACAGGGAGAGGCTGACTCTTTTAGAAATCTTCCCATTCCTCTACTCACAGTGTCCTGTGGATCATATGCTCTCTCATGAGAAAGGTGTCTTGGGTTACAAATATCATCTTTCCATTTCAGGAAATGGATAGATTCTTTACAGGTTTTTGGATCTTCTAGCTCCCCATCTCAGTATTCTTTTCTGTTTTGTTTAATTGAATTTTATTGTAGATTCAAACACAAGGACGCAATTACCGAATAGAGAAAAGAAGAAAAAAATATCATGAACTTAAATATTGCATCTTAATTACAATATATGAAAAGAAAAAAAGGAGAATGTCATGTGCACAGCAGAACCTAGGACAGGATTCAAAATATGTAATGATACATTTTCATTTCAAGAAAGCCTGTATGACAAATAGTACAACTTGTGTCAAGAGTTGTTCATTCTTATTTCCTTGTAAGTTTTCATTTCTTCTCTGCTGTGAACTTTTTTAACTTGTTCTTTTTTTCTCCCCTTCTCATCCCACCCCCAGAAAGCTACAATTGAGTGATAATATATTTCTCTATAGCTATACATATATACAAATACCTATATAGACATGTACTTTCCCAAATTCTGCTGCTGACTTTGTATTTATATTTGTGCATATCTCTTTTTTCCTATCCCTCCTGACTCCTCTACTTTGCTTCTACCCACTACCTTCCCCTTCTATTACTTACCCTACACCCCTCCAAGGATCCCTCCCCTATCCTCCAATTCTCATAAATCTAAGGAACCACCTATAGCCCACTATAAGCTATTCCCTCACCCTGCCCTCTAGAGATCCCTCTCTGGTCCTCTCCACCATCCCATTTCTTCTAAATATAGGACTTTTATCCCCTTCAAAATATATGTATTGCTCCCTCTTAAACTCATTCCCAATGAAAGTAGGTTAACAGAATTTCAAACCCTCGTTCGTCATCTCCTTCTCCTGTACTGGTGCTTCCACTTACACCTCATTTGTATTAAATAATTACTCTTTTTAGCTGTTCCTAAATCATTTTCCTTTTCAAAGTCAATTCTTTTCTGTTCTACCTCAGTCTTTCAGGTCAGGTGAGCTACTCAATTATTAATTATAATCTTGGACTTAAGTTTTGCCTTTTACATATATGAAAAGGAAATAGTCTGTCCTTATTGAATCCTTTGTAATAATTCTTTGGTATGTACTTTATGTTTCTCTTGGACCTCATATGTCAAGTCTCTTAAGTTTGGGGAGTTCAGGGGTTTTTTGTGGTTTTTATTTGTTTGTTTGTTTGTTTATTTGTTTGTTTGCTTGTTTTATAAAATCTTGTATGTCTGACAGTTGAGGAAATGTCTATCGTTTTTATCCAGGGATAGGCTTACCTTTGCTGCATATGAAATTTTCGGACTGAGCCCTAGTTCTTTTGCTCTTAGATGGATAATGTTTCAAGACTACCAGTCCTTTATAATGTCTGCTGCTAGGTCCTGTGTGATGGTGGAACCATCTTATTTAAATTATTTTTTTTCATTTTGTTGTTGCTTTTGATATTTTCTCCTTCAGCTGGGTGTTTCTAAATTTGTCTACAATATTCCTATGAGTGTTCCTCAAAGGATTTATTTTAAGTAGTGATCAATGGATTCTTTTCTATTTCTAATCTTCTCCTTTGTTGTCATGCTTCAGGACGATTTTCTTGAATTGCTTCTTGTATTATTGTATTGAGATTGTCATAGCTATCAAGTAATCTGATTATTTTTATGTTTTCTCTTTTTGATGTGTTCTCTAGATTGGTTGTTTTTCTTATAAGATATTTCATTTTCTATTTTATTTCTTTTCATTATCCATATTTGGTTGAATTATTTCTTGATCTCTTATAATTTCAGTGGCTTCCCCTTGCCCAATTCTAATTTTCATGGTATCATTTTTTCTTTGAGATTCTGGATCCTCTGTTCTAATTAGTTGACTTTCCTTTCACAGTCTTCTTGGTTTTTCTTGGATTCTTCTTTTTTTTTTTGTTTTGTTTAGAATGTCCTCCATCTCTTTCATTTGATTTTTAAAGTCCACTCAATGGGAAAGCTAGGAAGAGTGAAAGTAATAGACCTCTGCCTCCTAGCTTCTAAATACAGGGGGATAAAAAGACAATTGAAAAAGGAAAGCAAGTTAACCTGGTTCCTACAGTTATCTCAACATAATCTGCCAGATATGGCAGGCCTGTACTTGGCATTCCTGGGTCTTCAATGTGGAGATCCTACAGAGTGCTGAGGGGAGGTACACCCTGGGTTGGCAATTGTGACCTAGATGAAGCTAGAGCCAAGAAGACTGACAAGGAACAGTCAAATATGTAGGAAGAGAATCAGGTGAGGGTGGAACTTCTCAGATTTTACTGAATTAAATGGACTTACAGCCCCCACATTGATGTGGGGCTTCCTTTTGCTTTTATTCATTTTGGTGTCTTATCCTTCCTATTGCAAAGATCCTTCCCCTTGGAAGAGAAAATAGAAGCAAAAAAGAAACATGAATTGCTCAGTTATAATTTTTTGGCCCATTTTTCTGAGGAGCAGTCCAATCCCTTTTTGTACCTTTTCCTTTTTTTTTTTTTGCCTCCAACGTAGCTTAAACACACATGCACATACATAGGTATGTGCACATATTCGCATGCACATGAACAAAAAGTTACACACAAATTTATATTTGACACTGAAATATTTAGGAGAGTTAGGCCTAATTGCTGGAAATGAAATTATTGTAATAACCATTCTCAAATTATTTCAATTTTTTTAAAAGATTTGCCATTTGGGTGTCAGAAAGTAGTTTACTAATCACCCCAGTGAATGATGTTGAAAAATATAACAGATATTAATGTAACCGAGATGTTCACACATGTGGCATTCACAGATATAACGTTTAAACACCACACTCCAATATGGTTAGATGTTCCTTCTTACCTAGGCCATGAGCCTCTGTCACTGGAGGAAAAGGCTGATGGGGCCGCATTTCATCCCATTTGGGTTAATAATTGAGGCTAGGTTGGAACCTCAGGCCCTTCTGCTCTTGTAAAGCTTCTTCATAGTAGAGGGTTTGGTGCCTATAAGACAAGATGGCAGCTCCCCAACATATGTATAGCTCTGACTTGGCATTAAAAGACCAGGATTCAGAGCTCAGTTCTGTTACTTGCTATGTGATCTTACTAAGCCACAACATCTATCAAGTTCCAGTTTGCTTTTCTGTAAAACTAAGTCTCCAAACTAAGACATGCTTAAGCTCTACAATGGTTAGGGTTAGAACAGGGCGTGCAGGATGGATGGGATGCTGGATCTAGAAAGCAGTAGGAGCAGCTGCTCCTCCCACTCGGGGATGGGGACCCCTAGTCCACAGAAGACTTTATAAACATGATCCCGAGCAAGATGAAGGTCACACCTCTAGGCAAGAGTGAAAGGGGAAAAAGGGAATTCTGAATGCTCAAAGCCAACTCCAAAGGACGAGCCACCCCCAAGGGCTGGAGGGTGAGCTCCCTCTGGAGCTCCAGAGCTGGGGTGAGGAGGAAGGAAGAAGGGGAATTGTCTGCAAAGGGAAGAGCTGTCATGGTGGCAGGCTGAGACTCTGGCATAAGGCCCATATGAAGCCCTCCAGTCTATTGGTTAAAAGCTAAGTGCTTTGCTCCTTTTTCAGGGGAAGGACTGGACTAGAAAGAGAAAGGGGTGAAGGGCAAGAGCATGACACTTTCCTCCTTGGCCACATTAAAAAAAAAAAAGCAGAAGTGAAGGGCTGGAGGGCCTTACCTTGGAGGCTACCTGGAAGGGCCTTCCCCAGCCCAGGGGACATTCTACTTCAGTACTCTAAAGAGAAGGCACGCCTTTCCACTTCCCTCTGGGAAGAAGTTGGGTTGATTTTCCTAAAAGTGCATGAGAGTGTGTGTGTGTTTGTTTGAAGGGAGCGATGACTGGCAACAGTTCTGTGCCCAAGGTTGATGCACCCATTTTCCTGGGCCCTATGTAACCCTGTGTGGCTGCCAGAATGAGGCTAATTACCCACTGTATTCCCAGTCTTGGTCAGGCTCATCCTCAATGCCACAGCCAAGCTGCTCTCTAGAAACCTGCTAAAGTGGCACAAACTCAGCCCAAAGATGATTCTGCCACGGCCGCTTGGTCCTTGGGGCTCCAGGGCATGCCCTACTTTACACCCACCCCCTTGACATTGCCTTTCCTGGTACACAAGTATCTGCCAAAGGATGGGGATGTGGACGTGGACACGGAAGGGGTTGTACAGATAGGGAGGGGGCAGTCTTCACCGCTACAGGACTGGGCCTCGCCATGCCAGGACTGGTTGGGAGAGTAAGTGTGAGGAGGTGGAGGATCTGGAGCAAGGTGACCTCCTATGCCAGGGCACTGTGGCTGCCCCTTCTCTTCTCTGCATACCCTCTGTGCCAGGCCACATCTGCCTCTGCTCCATCTCCTAACTTCTCCCCCCAAAATCCCCAGCTACAGGCTGTCCATGACTGAATTGTGTCCCTCAATGCCAGGTCTGGTTGACCCCTGCTTCAGCTC